TTATATAATACATATATAATAATTATTAGCAATTAGAGATAGATATTTTAGTCTAGTTCTAGACGCAATTACCCATTTTCTCAATGATACCAGGAATATATATCGCTTTCCGCACCACTCCATCATGATTGGTGAACACGATTTGAATTCCGTTCTCAAGCTGAAATAGCACGTTATAAATTATATAAATATAATGCACAAATAGTATTAGTAATAATAATAATATATGAAGGTTGATTATTGATTATTAGTTGTTCGATTGTTTAGTTTAGTTATAATTTTACTGACTGGGATATATATTATCGCAAATAAATTTATCTGAAGAAACGACGCCATACCATTATACCAGCACGTCTATTTTACTTGTTTTAGATATACCAGTAATTTAAATATCTCTGCAAATTTGTAAACTTCTACTTGCACTTACATCAAAATCTAGGTAATCCCTGCCTTTTTCAAAATTGAATAAAATGGAGACCTGCACTTCAAGGTTTGGTAGGTCCTCCTTGGAAATAGGCTCAAACCGCTTATCTAAGAATCCACTGATATAAAAATGCGAATTTAAAAGACCAAACGTCACGAAACCAAAAAGCAAAATTTTCATTGGGAATTAGCAAACGCATGGAGCCAATCCAGTCATTATCCAATATTTATACAAAATCTGATACATTTAGGATTGATATACACCGCACCTACACAAGCAGAAATTACATGAAATTTGCCTTGTTTGGACTACATGTGTATGTATGTGTGTACGTATACACCTATATTATAAAATATGTATATAAAACGACGCGCTCAGATCAAATTGGCAACGACAATCAATATTAAAGGTAACCCGATATTAAACAATACATTTATTGAAGCTACATAACAAAAGTGATCACCAAATGCATGAGTTAATGTGTTTGTTACCTTGAGAGTGAAGTATCCCTGATAGCAGCGTGAATAGGCCTGGGTTTGTCTGACCCTTGACATCCACGTAAACGTGTGCGGCCGTCATCTGTGTTACTGTGCGACCTCCATGTCACAAAGACTGGACTGTAAACATATAAGCACATAGATGTACTGAACTGCCGCAACAGTTGGAGTAATACTGCTTGTACGTCAAGGTGTTGCCTCGGCTAGTAATATATGTTGGTCTATAGAAAAGGTATTGCGGAGTATTTTTTGCACCTGATTCACTTGAGTTACCTGAATTTTTCAGACAAAGCAGGCGTGCACGTTTAACCGATTCATTCTATCATGAATTCGAGTTAAATTATATTTCCCTGACAGGGCATTTTGCACATATACAAGCACGCACTCACGCACGCAGAAAAAGACAGGGAAAAAGAGGAAGCGAGAGAGAGAGCAATATAGCGAGCGAAAGCGAGTGCGTAAGAGGGGGAACAAAGAGCACGCGCAAGAGTAAGCATGCAAGAGAGAGAGAGAGAGAGAGAGAGAGAGAGAGAGAGAGAGAGAGAGACACAGAGATAGAAAGGAAGAGAGAGAGAGGGGCAGAAAGAGAAAGAGAGAGAGAGAGAGAGAGAGAGAGAGAGAGAAGAAGGATGGAGAGAAGGAGAGAGAGAGAGAGAGAGAGAGAGAGAGAGAGAGAGAGAGAGAGAGAGAGAGAG